GGAGTGCGTGCCGGCGACGCCATCCGAGTCTTCTCGTACCCCAGCGCCCCAGCGGCGTAGGTCTGCGTGTGCGAAAAAGAAGAGGTCACTCGGGAGATTACACAAGAAAGGAAGGAGGCAGCGAACCTCGAGCGCTTTGACGTTGTAGCAGCGGGTTTGGGTGCGCGGTGACAGGGTGAAGGCGCAGCGTCCTGCGACACGGCGGACGTATCTCAGTCATCGGTGGAAGGTATTCGCGTCGACCAGCCGGGGCGGGTCGAGGGGGTCTGCAGATACACCAGGTAAGCGTGTGTAAGTGCGTGGAACTGCAAGAGCACAACGCACCGTAGCCGCTCCCGCAAAACCCCAATGCAAATCCTCATTCGCCGTATCCGCGTCCCTCCCAGTACTAGTCTCCTGCCCGCCGCAGAGTGACGATAATGCTGAGCGCCTGGCGGGCATGATGTAGACAACGAGATGAGCACTTGATAGGACCGGCGAGACGGGCGCAGAAGGCGGGGACTGCGGGGGAGGGTTCTAGAGGCTTGCTGTTAGCCAACGTCGGGAGAATCGGGAAGTACTCACCATGCGACACCGTCGCGAAGGCGCATGAACTCGGTGCGCGCGAAAGCCATGCATATGATGTGCGAGCTGCGCCATAGAGTGGTCGTGCTGCGCTGGCGGGTTCTCGGGGTGGCGCTAGGCGGTCGACAGCAGCTCCCTGTGTTGGCGGTGCGGCTGTGGTGTCGCTGTGCGCTTGTATCATCCTGCAGGGAGTGGTCGTAGTCGTGGTGTTAGCTTGTCCGGTGGTAGAGCCGGGTGGAGTGGGAGAGAAGGGAAGGGGAAGAGTCGCGAGGAGGGTGGGCGAAGATTCGGAAGAAAGAGGAGGGGGAGGCCAAAGACATCGTCTGGGTTGGGAAGAGCGGGGGAGGAAAGCGGCGGTGGGAGTAAGATGGGGATTGCGGGGGAGGGACGAGGGAGTGAAAGGGAGGGAGGAAGAAGGGACGACGGAGAAAGAGTGGCGAGAACGAGGGGAGGAGCGAGGAGCGAGGAGGACGAGAGAGTGAGAGAAGCGACGGCGAGGGAGCTACGGGCGAGGTTGCGCGTGCGGAGAGTTCGCTGTACGGGGTGGCTACGTGGTGAGCAATGAGACGGGTTGGGAGTATATAGAGAAGTGTGAGGGAAGAGAGAGAAGCGCACCTCGGGCTCCAAACATGCACCCGCGCTACCCATGTCTGTGATGTCGAACGAGCACGGGCATCGTTGAACCTGCCGAGGAAACAACGGGCGTAAGAATACCGATTTGAGACAGGGAAGAGAGGCAAGAGACAAGGGGAGTATGGTCAAGTATGAATAGAGCAAATGCGGGGAGAATGGATGGGGGAGCGAGAATCGCGAACCGACGCGGCAAGGGAAGGATGCCAGTGGGATGGCTCACCCACGGATGATGCTTTCTTAATCAACGAACGGAGTCGGCGACGAAGACCGTTCGATAGAGAGGGCATAGAGCTGGTGGCTGCCTGTACTTCTCTGAATCGCGTCCGCGTCCAGCGTACGCAAATGACAGGCTGTACTTACTGAAGACGCCGTATTCATTCGAGTCATCCGAGGGTGGCGCCGGTGCCGTGGCGAGGCGAGGCGGAAGCGGGCGGCGAACGCAGTGAACGGATCCCGAGTTCGAGGAACCCAGCCAAAATTTTGAATTCGTGGTCGTTTGGTCCAGGTCAAGAGATGAAGTTGGGTGGCGGTGCATTCATCATCAAATTGCGGTCCGGAGTCCGGACTCCGTTCAACTTGAACTTCCTGCTTCTCCCTCGTCTTTCTGCACCGCGGTCCTCGCCTGCAAAGAAAGGTAATATCGCGCCCGTCAAGTTCCAACCCGCCATCTCGCTGCACATCTGGAATGGAATTCTCGACACAAAACGAGGAAAAACACTTTCGACCAACTTTCGACACTCTTAGGCCTCTGGAGTCGAACCCTCCTCTCCTCGGTATCGATACTTCCTTCATCAGATCACTAACAGAAACGAGGCGACTTCCGTGGTCCACAGAGGCGTCCACGGCTCTATTTTTCCTGTTGTAGGTAAGTAACACTCCGCGTTGAATTTCTGGAGGAGCCGCTTGGTTGAAAACACAAACACAGCCGAGATTGAGCATGTATCCCTGATTCTTAATAACGGTTGGTCATAATTCTTCGGAGATAGATCCATCTGAATCCTCGAGTGCATAAACTCAGGAATCAAGAAAGCGCAGATAATCCGCAGAAAGAAAAAAGGTTGGCGAAAGTTTTCTGCACGCCTCCGGAGGGAGTCGAACCCTCGTCTCTTCGATAAACTATCCTCCGACTTCTAACAGAAAAGAGGCGACTTCCGTAGTCCACAGAGGTGTTCGATGCTTTGTTCTTTCCGCGGAGTTGGGTTATCAGTTCAAGATAACCGTGCAAGTAAATCCTATTGTTGCTTTACTTGTTGACAGCGGCCGCGGTTGAGATCTAGTTAAAAAATATAATCACTTTGGTCGAGTACTATTCACAATCCCTTTTGGTCAGGGATATGATCCCCTCGAGTACACCTCCCCGAAAGTGCAGACACAGAGGACTCTGATGACTCGTCCGAAACTGAAAAAACAGGTGGAAAGAGATTCAAGCCTCCGGAGGGAGTCGAACCCTCATCCCCTCGAGATACCCATGTCTCAACAGAGATGTAATAGAAACGAGCCGACTTCCGCAGTCCACAGAGGCGTTCCCTGCCCAGTCCCGAGTTCGTAGTCGGGTCATTGGTGCGTGTTGAATTTCCTGACAGAGACGTTTCGGTGGAAATGCATGCGCCATTCCACTAGTAATCCTTCCTCCTCCAGCGTAGCTAACTAATTATGAACCTTCAACAATCACCTTGGATCAATGGCAGACGGCCCCGACCAAAAAAAAAGGCTATTGCAAATCTCCATGGCCTCCGGAGGGAGTCGAACCCCCGTCTCCTCAATACATGGGTGGCTGGACTACACAGATAAGTACGAGGCGACTTCCGTAGTCAACAGAGGTGTTCACGGCTCTATTCTTCCAGCAGAGTTTGGTTGTCAGTTCAAATAACCGTGCAAAAAAATCCTGTTGTTGCTTTTTTTTTCCACAGTAGCTTCGGTTACTGAGATCTACGAGTCGAAAATAATCACCTGGTTGAGTACCATTCACAATCCCTCCCTCCTTCAATTCTCGTCTCGAGTACAACTCATAGTTAAATGCCCAGGTACAGACGACTCCAAAACTCGTCCCAAGCAAAAAAAAAAAAAGGTGGCAGAAGGATTTTAAGCCTCCTGAGGGAGTCGAACCCTCGTCTCCTCAATGAACGATCATGGACGATTCTGACATCGCCGGGGTAACTTCCGTAGTCGACAGAGGCGTCCACGTCCAAGCCTTGGACGCCTCTGTTATTTCCAGCGAAGTTGGGTTGCAGGCAAGCAACTTCAACTTGATACCCCACGTTGAATTTCCTGGCGCGCTTGGTTGAAACAAATAAAAACCCGGTTCACGCTGTGCAGTGGTCATAATCCGTTGGGATTCATCTATGCTCGGGTGCATCTTCCCATTCAGGAGTCCAGGACTTGCGGATAAATCCCCCAAAAAAGCATGGCAGCATTCCCTCCACGCCTCCGGAGAGAGTAGAACCCTCGTCTCCTCAATATATAGCCGCTGTGGATACACCACGGATGCGAGGCGACTTCCGTAGTCCACAGAGGCGTTCCCTGCCCAGTTCCGAGCTCGGAGCCAAGTCGTAGGTACGTGTTAAATTTATTGGTGGACTCGGAGCCTCTAGATGTTGGTTGAAAACACAAACACAGCCGAGGTTGAACGTGGATCCTGGATTGACGTTCGGTCATTCATAATCCCTCAGCTTCTTTCTCCCACTAGTACGTCTCTTACGTTTCAAACTAGGGGCTGGACGGCTCAGAAAAAGATGACGCGAGTTTTTACGCTTACACCTCCGGAGGGAGTCGAACCCCCGTCTCCTCAATACACGGGTGGCTTGATTATGCTACAGATAAGAGGCGACTTGCGTAGTCGTAACAGAGGCGTTCAGTGTTCTTCTGGTGGCTTGGGTGAACGCTATAGGTAGGCTGTTGAATTGCTTGCTAGAGCCGCGTGGTTGAAAAGTTAAACACAGCCTGAGGTTGAACATACACCCGCTGTTCCCAATTTCTCAGATTGGTTTCCCTCGAGTGCATCTCCTATGTTTCAAATTAAGGGCTGGACGGCTCAGAAAAAAATGTCACGAGCTTTTATGCTTACACCTCCGGAGGAAGTTGAACCCTCATCTCCTCAATATACTTCCCTCATCAGATCACCCACAGGAACGAGGCGACTTCCGTAGTCGACAGAGGCGTTCACAGGTCTGTTATTTCGAGCGAAGTTGTGTTATAGGGGGTCTGCGACTTTCTGGAGCAGCCGTTTTGAAAACACAGAGACAAACTGAGATTGAACACGCAGCCTGGGCTACGCGCTATTCATTATCCCTCAGATGGATTCCTCTTCGTTCTCTCTACAGCGTATCTCTCACTTCAAGGGCCGGACGGCTCAGAAAAAAAAATGGCTGAATTTTTCACTGCTGACACCTTCGGAGGGAGTCGAACCCTCATCTGCTCGAGATACTCATTCCAAACATTCCAAACAAATTCATAATAGAAACGAGGCGACTTCCGTAGTCCACAGAGGCGTTCACTCCTCTGTTCTTCCGGCGGTCTTGGGTTGTAGGTAAGCAATTTCAGCTCAATACCTCACGTTAAATTTCCTGGCGCGCTTGGTTGAAAAAATCACGACCGAATTATCACGAATTTATCTGCGTGAGATCGTGCGTTTACATGGACTTCCAAGCACGATCATATCCGATCGGGATTCGAAATTCAGGTCGAGACACTCTGGTCGTGATCCGTTGGGATCCACGTCTATACAGGTGCATCTTCCCATTCAAGAATCGAGGACTTTCAGATAAATTCCGCACAAAAGCTTAAGCACGGCAGCATTCCCTCCACGCCTCTGGAGGGAGTCGAACCCTCATTTCCTCAATAAACTATAAATCCTCCGACATTTCACAGAAAAGAGGCAACTTCCGTAATCCACAAAGGCTTCCAATACCCTGTTCATCCAGTGGTGTTTCGTTGTAGGTGAGTAACAGCCCGGGTTGAATTTTTGGAGGAGCCGCTTGGTTGAGGACCCGCCATTAAACATCCACTGACATGCTCACTGGCCATCTTCTCCGAGTACGAGTCGGAGTCCTCAGAATAAATCTGTCCCGACTACCGGACCGCCATGAACTCATAGGCACTCAAATATCGGCGACTTCCGTATTCGACAGAGGCATTCACAGCGCAGCAAAGTCGTGTCATGGGTAAGCGGCATTTCATGTCGAATTTTCTGAACCACTTGATTGGAAACACAAACAGGTCGCGACGAAAATATGGATACAATGAGCCCAGAGATTGCCAATTGGGTGGTATCATACAGGACATGAAACTAAAGATCCGGGCGAATATATGACTTTATTACTACCTTAGCATTGAACCAGCTGTAAATATCTCTCCTGCACTTGCAGCGACACCAACGACCGGACTTCCTCAGACAGCGACGGGTGAGACTCCTCCAGCCCGCCAACGTCCACTCCGGGTGGTATTTGGGCGGCAATGCGAATCAGGTTGGCAGTCACCACCGACGGACTGGATCGCAACAGCCAGGGACTCTCAACCGTTCTGCTCCTCCCAATAGAGCGTACAAGGTGCATTTGAGCGCGCCCTTCACCTTGCTCATCCTCGAGAAAATATGGATAGCCGTTGCTAAACGCAGCACGGTCCCACTCCGCCCTCGGCGCAACCTTCGCGGTACAGAGCCCACCATTGATGGACTCCATCACGACACAAAAATTGGTGTCGCCATACCGGTGTATGTGCGCCAATTTTTGAAGAAAGATGGAGAACTTTTGCGTCTGATACTCACGCAGGATCATGTATTCGTGGAATCGATTGGTCTGTTTTGTGAGTCTCCAGGCTAAATGGGCAGCGAGCGAATTAACGCGATGGCCCCATCGGTGATTAGATGGACTTACTGTGTGGTTCTGGGTGCTCCTGTATTTTTGCGCACTTGGTGCGGTGAGCAAACGTTCTCCAGGAGATCTTCTGGCATTCACGCGAGCAATAAAGGTTTACTCGGCAGCCCGAGCAGCGCCTGAAAGCCGTCTTCTCTTCCATCAGCCTATCGCACTGAAGGAGCGGCTTATGAGAGCCGCGACGGATTAAAAGCCACCAAGCAGAGCTCACCTCATAATTATCACACGCCTTTTTAGCGACGAAGGAGGAATAGCCGTCTAAGAACTCAAGGCGGTTCGTCACCGTGGTCTTAAGGAGTTGCCACTCCCTGCGGCACTGCGAGGTCGCAAACCCAGGAGTTCGTTCAGCTTCCAGGGCGTCCACCAGAGCCGCGGGAAAAGCCACCATGGACTGGTAAACGAGTGTCGACCCAAGAAGGAGTGTGCCCATGAGGGAACTGATTGAATCGGGGATGAAGGTGTGGCTCCCAAACCGGGCGCTACACAAAACGAGGGCGCGAAGTATGCCGGCCTTGAGCGCCTCCACGATTTGGGCGGTAGAGGAGTCCGAAATAATCATATGGATTTGCAAGAGGCTAACCGCGACCGCCTCCTGAACAACGGGGGTCGTGCCGGCTTCAGCGAGCTTCGCCAGCCCTTGAGTCGCAATCGTAACATAGCCCATAGAAGCCAGACGTGTCCAGAGGAGAGCAGGCTCCTCGCGGGTGGCCGGAATATAAGTGGTGCAGAGAAAGTCGTGGATGTCGACGAAGGGCAAGAGAAGCATATCTCTCACGACTTCGTCGGGGTTGTGGCCGAGGCCGCGAACAAGCACAGCGATGTATCTGACGAGCAGGAGGACAAAATCGTCGACATCCCCGCCCACTCCACCCACGAGCTCTTTCAGGTGCTCCGGAAAGTCATAGCAAGCAGCCAAGAATTGCTTCACGCCGAGAATTGCAGTCCGGTGGCATGCCTTCCGGATCTCCGTTTCGTCCTGCTCACAGAGTGTAACCAGACCAGCCAATGCACGGGCGGCAAAGAAGCACACGTCCGGCGTCGTGTGTATCAGCTGCACTGTGGTGGGCATCATGAGGAGTGCGATGTGCGAGAGGATTTGGGTGCGGAAGAAGTTCGTTTGAGCATGGAAGGATTCATGATTGTCGATGAACTGCGCCCATGCCCACAAACGTGGCCATAATTCGCGAGTAACCGCCGACGTGAGCCGAAATGAACAAAAGTGTATGAATTCCATCGCGTAGACAGCGGCCAGGACGCGAGGGTGGACGGTGGAGTCGGTCAAGAGATCAGGATCAGGTATGCGCTGCAGATCGAGATTCGCGTATACAACGGGGAGGAGTTTCGCAGCGGATGCCACCGGGTTTGCCTCTCTGCGTAACACCGCATGAAGTTCGATGACTGCGTCGAGTACCACGTTCGCATTAGCCGATGAATCGGCAGCAAGACATGCCACTCCCTGCGTGACAGGAAATAAGTTATCAAGGGAAGTCACGTCAGGAAGTATGGAGCACATACGCGACAAGAGTCGGGAAGCCCCAATAACTTGGAAGGTAGGAGTTCAGGATGCATTTCGCTCTGGAGTCTAGAGAGAGTGTGGTAAGGAAAGAGAAGGAAAGCCTGCGGTGGAGTGACGCGAAGCCACTGAAAAGTTACCAAATTGAGACATTGGGCATTCCTATTGTTCGTCCAAGAGCGTCGCCAAATAGAACGATCAAAGCAAAGGCAATGTCATGCGGCGCAAAGCGATTTAAGCAAAAGGCTGTGCGGCCGCCGCTTCTTGGACCGACGCGGCGTGCAATAGTTTCAGCTCGAGAAGATTTTGACGAAAGACACATGAAACAGGGTTGGTCCACGGGCGTTGCTTCAACTCTCGCAGGGGAGCCTTGACGAAGCTGTTCGCTGACAAGCGTCAGTTCTGTGTCGCAACCGGGATTTCAGGCGGCATAGATTGAGAGAGCTTGATGGAGTAACAGAAGGACATTTCAGTTCTTGGATTGTAGTGCATGTGCGTCAATGAACAAGAAGAACGGACTTATTCAAAACATGCACATCAACATTCTGCACTGAAACCGTCGCCAGTTGGACGGGGGAAACGACGCTGCGATGGATCTTGGTAAGCGGCGGGAGCCAAAATGAATCGAACCTTACCAGGATTCGACCCAGATCCTTGGCTAGCGTGATATGATTTCAAAAAAACATAACTTACTCGATAGCTATTGCACGCAGAGGATTATCGGCAAGGGCTGCGTACGGCGCGAGGGGGGGAGGAATTCGGCACCAGAGATGTGCATTAAAAATCGAGGACCTGTCAGCGCAGGGAACGGTGATACGCAGACAAGCCAAGAAAATACAAGCCAGTAGGGAGTCAATCGTCAGTCTCAGCCTGCGACGTCGCTCGCTCTTGTACTCAGCGATCCGTCGAATCTCCAAGTAGAGATCGGCAGGAGCTCGCTGGGTACGAAGGACAGTGCAAGTCGCAAGCGAGAGGGCGTGGATGGCGGCCGTTCAAGGCGGATAGTACGACGGCGCGGAGATCGCGCACACCAGCAAGCTTGGTGCTGCAATGTGAAAGTCAGTTCAAGATAAATTAAGAGCGTACCGGACGACATACTTTATCTCACCGCATCCAGGGTTCCCATAATTTATTTTGAAAAACCCCAGCCGTCGAGCAGGTCACTGTTTTAACGCGCCTGCAAAACAAGGCAGTCCCCTCGAACGATCCCTGCTGGAAAGCGACGACGAGAAAAACGACATGGTGGACGGACGAAGCAAACAGATTGCGGCAAGAGGTTGCCGGTGATCCGAGCGCACAGCCACGCCCTTCCTCAGGAATCCCACCACCGCCGTCCCGGATTCCCGACTGCACCGTACGACGGTGCACTTAGGAGTGATCTTGCACCTGCCAAGCTCCAACCGACCATCCCGCTCCACATCTGAAATGGAATTTCCAACACAAAATAAGGGCAAAACACTTTTCGACACTTTCAGGCTTCTGGAGGGAGTCGAGGTGACCCTCGTCTCCTCGATCAACATAGTAACAACGTAACTTGCATAGTCCACAGAGGCTTTCACGGCTCTGCACGGAGCCCGGAGCTGGGTTGGAGGTAGGGGACGAGATTTTTGGACGCTGGCGAAGTCGCTTGGTTGAAAAACACAGCCTGATTGAACATAAATATCTGGTCATACACTGTTTATAATCCCGTCTATACTCGAGGGCAATCGAACATCCGTGAATCAAGACGACTCAAGAAAAAAAAGAGGGTCAGCACGAAAGTAGGCCTCCAGAGGGAGTTTCCGTAGTCCGCAGAGGCGTTCAATGTCCTGTTCTTTCAGCGGAGTAGGGTTATCAGTGGAAGGTAAGCGCGTGTATACTCCCACCACCATATAGATGAAACGAGGCAGCCGCTGTAGTCGACAGAGGCTTCCAATGCCCTGTTTTTTTCCAGCGGTACTAGCAGAGCCGCTTGGTTGAAAACACAAACACAGCCTGAGATTGAACATATACAGCCTGGGTTCCCCGCTGTTCATAATCCCTCAGATTCGTTTTCCCTCGAGCGCGTCTTCTACTTCAAGGGTCGGACGGCTCGGGAAAAAAATGGTCGAATTTTTCACGCTTACACCTCCGGAGGAAGTCGAACCCTCGTCTCCTCAATATACTCATGTCGGAATAGATTTGTGATAGAAAAGAGGCGACTTCCGTAGTCGACAGAGGGGTTCACGGCTCTGTTCTCCCAGCGGAGACTGGTAAGTAACACTCCGGGTTGAATTTCTGGAGGAGTCGCTGGGTTGAAAAGTTGAGCACGCCCGAGATTGAACACGATCACCAGGTTACATTAATATTCTGGTCATATCCCTCATGGTTCCATACTCGAGAGCATCTAACTACAGACTGAACACGGCCCAGATCAATCCAGGACGTGCTAGTGGTTGAGACCTTGTTGAACATTTGAAATTAGGAATGCACTTTGTTTTTCTGTCCTCCTTTTTTTGAGATGGAATAATCGAGATCCTTTATGGCTATTGTCAC